CCATTGCTTGTGGGAATGTAAAATGGTACAATAACTATGGAAAGGCAGTCTGGTGCTTCCTCAAAAAGCTGAAAACAGAAGTACCATTTGACACAGCTATCCCACTATTGGGAATATACCACAAAGCAATCAGAGCTGTGACCCAAACAGATGTATGCACACTCATGTTTACTGCAGCGTTATTCATGATAGCAATGAGATGGAGCCAGCCCAAGTGCTCATCCAAATAAATGGTTAGAGAATTCATGGTGCATTCACACAATGGAGTATTACACAGCAATGAAAAATAAATAACTCATGGAACACTACACAACATAGGTGGGGCTGTAGGACATTACGCTGAGTGAAATAACTCGGTCACAAAAGGAAAAATACTGTATAAAACCACTGTTGTAAAAACAGGGATAGTTACGGGGAGTGGGTAGAAATGAGGGAGATAGAAGAAGAAGAATGGATAGATAATTCCTGTGTTGAAATAGGTGAAGGGAAGGCCAATCTGAATGAAAGAATGATGAGACATTTTGTACACTGCAGTTAACAATCAGGAACAGGAACTGTGGATTAAATGAGAGGGGGAAGGAGGGAAAAAAATAAAGTTATACACATTTAAGTATTTAGAGTTAAAGAGACATGGTATTTCCAATACATTTTCAAATTAGTGGGAAAACTTAAACAGACACATATGTGCAAAGACATATACATTCATACATACAGACAGAATCCCCGATGAAGTAAATGTGGCAAAATGTAAACAATGGGATGAATCTTGGGGAAAGGATATACAGCAGCTTTTTCTATTATTCTTGAACGTTTTCTGTAAGCGCTTTCCTTAGCATTAACAGAGTCTTTCATGGTTCAACCCATGCTCATCTCTTTGGTGTTATCTTTTACCACCTTTCCTCTCAGTCACTGTGATCCAGTCCCATTGAACTGCCTTCATTTCCGCAAATGTGTCACACGGCCTGCCCAAAGGCATTAAGGAACCTAGTACACATTATTGACTCTTCCTATCATAACCTTTTCCCATGACTCCTTCTCTTGTTTACCCTTAAATTGAAAAGGCAGGGCGAGATCCACTCTGAGACAACTTTATGGTATCATCAGCAGAATTACTTTAAGAAAGCCTTTCTTGACTCTTTAGATTCAGATGTTTCTTTGACATAAATTCCTACAACACTCTCTTTTCTCTAGCATAATACAAATGATATCTTTTACTATAACAGTCATTTTTTTTCTTTTCTAAAAGATGTTAATGGAGCTCTAGTGGCCTAGTGGTAAGAAGCTGTGCTGCAATCGCAAAAGCACATGGCTGGAATCCACCAGCTGCTTTGAGAAAGAAGGATGTGCAATCTCTTCTGTGTGATTAATTGCCTCTGGAGCGTCAGCTATGGGCTAGTTCTGACTCAGTGGTACACAATAACAACAAAAGACGCTAAGTTCTGTCAGGACAAAAGCTATGCATGCAGTTTTATAAGTCCATCATCAATACCTAGCATTTGACTATGCAAAGGCGTTTGACTGTGTGGATCATGACAAGTTGTGGCTGGCATTGAGAAGAATGGGAATCCCAGAGCACTTGACTGTGCTCATGAGAAACCTATACCTGGACTAGGAGGCTGCTGTGCGGATGGAGCAGGGGGCACTGCATAGTCTGGAATTGGGAAGGGAGTGTGTCAGGGCTGTATTCTATCTCTGTACCAGTTCAATCTATATGCTGAGCAAATCATCCGAGAAGCTGGACTTTATGAAGAGGAGTGTAGCATCAGAATTGGAGGGAGACTCATAAATAACCTGTGTTATGCGGATGGCACAACTTTAACTTGCTGAAAGTGAGGAGAACTTGAAACACTTGTTGCAGAACATCAAAGAATGCAGCCTTCAGTATAGAAGCATCTCAATATCCAGAAAACAAAGATTCCTATCACTGGAACAATAGGCAGTGTTGTGATGGATGGAGAGAAGATTGAAACTGTCAACAGCTTCATCTTGCTTGGATCCACAATTAACACCCTTGGTACGAGCAGTCAGGAAATAAGGAGACACATTGCACTGGAAAAATCTGCAGTTAGGGACCTTTCCAAATTATTGAGGAGTAGTGAGGTCAGTTTGAGGACTAAGGTGCATCTGATTCCGGACATGTTGTTATTGTTGTTGTTGTAGTTGTTATGTGCTGTAGAGTCGCCTGCAACTCATAGCGACCCTATGTGCAACAGCCCTAAACTCTGCCCTATCCTGTGCCAATCTCACCATCTCTGACACACCTTCCCCCATTATCCCAGTCACTGAACCAATCCATCTCATGGAGAGTCTTCCTCTCCTGCGCCGTCCCTCCACCCTCCCAGCATGACATCCCTCTCCAAGGACTGGTTCCTTTCCAATTACTAGCTATGTATCTGAGACCTGGACAATGAATACGGATGACAGAAAAAGAGATGCCTTTGAGCTGTGGTGTTAGAGAAGAGCACTGAACAAATAGATATGTCTTGGGGAGGGTGCACCAGAGTTCCCTTGGGAGGCAAGAATGATGCAGCTTCGCCTCACATACTTTGGACATATAGCTAGAAGGTTCTAGTCCTTGGAGACGGACACGATGTTGGGAAGGGTGGAGGGTCAGCGAAGGAGAGGACAAGACTAGGTTCAGATCTTTTGTTCATAGGGTTGCTAGAAGTCATACTTGACTCAATTTCACCTAACAGCAACGTGTCTGATATACGACTCAATTGAAACTTGTCCAGTCAAAATAAAAATTCTTGAAATCACACACACAGGAAAAACACTGGGTATCAAATTTAGTTTTCTTATTTTATGATGCAAATTAATGTCATTAATTCTGCATTGCTGTATAAAAGCTATCAATCTCATTACTTACTAGTCATGCACTGGTTCTGTGGTTTGTTTAAACCACATAAACTCCTTGACTCTTAAAAAAAGGTCACTTAATTCCTTTCTAATTTTGTCCCACCTGAATCTGTTCTACAATCCCCCAATTGGGGTTCTCTACTATTTCCTCCCTAGTGAAAAAGGCCTCCATGCCTTCTTTGGCAGGGCCACTCTGATGGACTGAATTGTGCCCTCCTCCCAAAGTACATAAGTCGAAATTGTGTAATGATCTCCCATGAACTGAACTAATGAGTTCTGAAAGGATTAAGAGTGGGACACACCATTCTGTTGTCCCATCACAGCTCTAATCCAATGTATGTGGAGTTGCACAACCTAGGTTATGGCTTATAACACATTTTATCTCAACAGAGATAAACAAGGAAAAAAGGGGAGCTGGGAGGGGGCCTAAGTATCACCAAAAAAAACCTGCTAGGAGTGGGATGTGCTGTTTTGGACCTAGGTCTTTGCAAGGAAACTCCTTGGCCCTGAGGAAGGTCAAGACACACAGTGAACCCCAAGGAATGCTGGCTCTGTAGATGTGAAGAAAACACTTTCCTCCACATCTGAATTTGGGCTTCGAATTTCCTAAACTGTAAGAGAATAAATTTGCTTCATAAAGCCATTCACTTGTGGTATCTCTATGACAGCAGGGCTGGACAACTAAGACATTTTACATCTAAACACCTTTCGCTCTCACTTTACATACATTACCCTGAAAGCTGTCTGTCTGTAGCTTTCCTTTTTAAACCCTATTTTATCCCATAAGACCACTGAAAACACATTCATTTCCTTTACTTCTTTACGGCTTTTTGATGCTTAACGATCATGTTCAGATTACCACTGAATTTTCTCTTATTTCTAACTTTCCCTCCACTCATTTGATTATCATTTAAGATGGTCCCAAGTCATCTTACTAGCTTGTCCACTCTCTTACCATATTTCAATTTGCCACTGTCCCTGTTACAGTGTAGGCTCCAGAAATGTGTACTGTACTTCAGATTGGAGTTGAGGATCATAGAGACCAGGAATTAGCATAGAGCAGGTGTTAGCCAACTGTTTTATGTGACGGGTCAGATAATAGTTTAGGCTTTAAACCATCTGACCTCTGTCGCATCTATTCAACTCTACAGTTATACCACCAAAGCATCCAAAGACAATATGTAAACATATGAGCATGGCTATATAACAATAAAACAGTTTCTCAGTCTCAGAAGTACTACATTTGGGAGCCAGATCTTTGCTTGTTGCTGGTGGCTGTCTTGTAAGATGTTTAGCAGTATGTCTGGCCTCTGTCCACTTAATGTCAATAGCATGCTCTTTCCCCAAACATGATAAACAAGTATGCTTCCAGACATTGCTAACTGTCTTTCCGAGAACAAAACTGCTCCTGGTTGAGGACTACTCTGATAAAAAATTTTATACAAAATGAGGCAGAGTACTGCAAGCTCAAGTTTGCCCACTTTTTTCACAGAGGAAAGGAGAATTGACATCTTTTTTCTAAAACAAATTTTTTAAACATTTCCAATGATGTAGTCAGACTAATTATATGAACTCTGTAAGCAAACCAAAATATTTTTTTTAAAAAAGTGAATTAAACCAGGAAAAAAAACCCAAAACTAATTCTACTCCTTATGATCATATTTTTAATCATCTGAAACATTGCAAATTAAGATTCCACTGAAACTTTAGATTGATTCTCTTTGATTAAGTGTTGTTAGGGTTTGGGATGCCAAAGCATCTTTCTCAGCTGTACTAGACCACATGTGTCCTCCAAGTGATTAGCATTCTGAAACTAGAAATAGCTTGATCACAACGTTGTGTTAAAATACCCAGATTTACTGATAAATGTGCTCACTCATTTAGGGATAATACTTATGCTTGTCCCAGACACCACAATAGCGTTGCAAGAGTTGACATTTGACTAAGAGAGGTGATTTTATATGTAGAAGTGAATTCAGAACTTTTCCAAAGCAAACCAAAATGATCACCCTCTAAAATAAAGAACTGGGTAAGAAATTTAGCTTTATACTAAACTCATTGATCAACAAACCACTAAGGGCATTTTATGAAACATGCTTGATGGCGATGTCCAAGTAAATGATTTTAAAGTAATAACTGACCTCCAAGTCCAGGTCGCAGCCGGTTATCGTAGCCATCTAGAAGCCGATCTAAGATTCTCGTAAAGATAGTGATGTTGTCAGTGCTGTCATCAGGAATATCTGGGGCATGCTTAGGAGAGAGTCTGCGAACGTACAGGGAAAAGAGAAGAAAACAGTAACTTCGTGGGAAACAATCATGTCTAAACATTGTCATTCGAGGACATTTCAGTCCATGGGTGAGGGACTCAAGGAACCCAGTAAGCACTTTCTATCTGTTATGATGGCAGCCTGAGTGGTCCATATATTCGAGTTCATACTCTAGTATTGGCATGAGCTTTATTTTCACTTATTCATCATATGTTTCTGTCCCATCCTAGCAGTAGAGAAACACAAGACAAACTCTTGACAGAATTTTCTGGACATCATACCTAATAAATAGTTGACAGTCATCAAATTTTGTTACAAGAGTGAATGGTTCTTTAAAAACTCCATCACACAGAACTGTTATGAGCTGAAATTGGCAAGATTCTAAGATGACGATAACATCAAGGAGAAAGACATTCCTCAGGACAATCAACCATGAACGATCATTTGGGTAACATTTGCCCAGGTATGAAGCTCTGCAGACAGGAAGGAATAAGGACAAAGGACAGACAATGGAAAAGAGAGGGGTAACATGGGAAGAGTGCTATCAATGCCACGAAACATAATGTGTACAAATCACTGAACAGAAAATCAATTTGCTCTGTAAATTCAAATGACAATAAAAAGTAACTTTTAAAAAGAAAAAATATTACTGAAAATTCATCTGTCTTCTACTTCAGAGATTCACAGACTCACAGAACAGTATAATCAGATAGATCCTTGAACTGCATCTAATCTACTCTCACTATCATCCTGTGGAGATAAGGCAACCTAACAGTAATACTATCTCTATGGCTATGAGTACAATTCACAGGGACCCTACAAAGGACAGAGCTGCACCCTGACCTGTCCCGCACCATCCTCAATCTCTGATACACTCAAGGCCATTGTTGCAGTCACTGTGTCAATCCAGTTAACTGAAGGTCTTCCTCTACCCTTCCAAGAATGATACTCCTTTCAAATGAATAGCCTTTCCTAGCAACATGCCCATGAGTCACCCTTACCTCTAAGGTGTGCTCTGGCTGCTCTTTCCCCAAGCAAGCCCCTGTTTCCGTGGGATACTCAGTGCTCTTCTCCAACACTACAACTCAAAGGCATCAGTTCTTCCTCAGTCAACCTTGTTCATTGTACAGCTCTCAGATACCCAGCAAGTGACTGAAAAGACCATGGCCTGTATCAGACACACCTTAGTCTACAAACTGATATCATTACTCCTCAATAATTTGTAGAGGTCCCTAGCTACAGACTTTCCTAGTACAATACATCTCCTGATCCCCTGACTGCTGGTATCAAGGGTGTTGATTATGGATCCAAGAAAGTTGAAACCATTAACTATTTCAATCTTTTCTCCATATAGCATGATGTTGCCTACTATCCCTGTGGTGAGGGTGAGTATTTTTGTCTTCTTGATGTTGAGATGCAATCCATATTGAAGGCTGTAGTCTTCCATCCTCCGTACTAACTGTTTCAAGTCCTCTTCACTTTCATCAAACAAGACTGTGGCATCTGCATAGTGCAGGTTGTTGGCGAGTTCCTTCTAGCCTGATGACACATTTATCTTCATATAGTCCAGCTTCTCAAATTATTTGCTCAGTGTATAGATTGAATATATAAGGAGAAACTATATGGCCCTGATGTATACCTTTCCTGATTTTTATACCACACAATGTTTCCTTGCTTGTTCAAACAACAGCTTCTTGGTCTAGGTATAAGTTTCATATGAGCACAATTAAGTGATATTGGATTCCCATTCTTCTCAGTGTTAGCCAAAATTTGTTATGATCCACATAGTCAATTGCCTTTGCATAGTCAGTAATACACAAATAGGCCTTCTTCTGGAATTCTCTGCTTTCACCAATAGAGTAGTAAAAGCATTGTAATTGAACAGTTCTCATTCTAAACTGTAACTCTTCAGCTAGTAGTCTGGAACAAATTCTTCTGAACCCTGTTTCCTTAATTCATTATCTTAATTCCATTCGTCTCACATACCTTGAGCATGCAAGAAGACAACATGCCAGGAAAGGTGGAAAGTCAGGGAAAGAGGAGGAGACCCTCAGTGAGCTGGATTGACACAGTTATTGTAACAATAGGAACAAGCATATTAGACAGGCTGAATATGGCTCAAGATAGGGCAGGGTACAGATGTGCTTATCATAGGTCAGGGTCGACTGAACAGCACCTAACAAGAAGAACTTCATTCACTTAATCAATAAGTTAGTATTTATTGAGCACCAACTATGTCCCTATTACTATTCTAGATATTGTTATAGAATGTTTTTTATATATCCAAAATTAAACAAAGCTAATAATCTTTCCCCTGCTTCATTTACAGAACAAATGAGAGACTCTAATGACAAAATGGACACACACATGGAAGTAAAAGGGACCTAACTTGAAGAGTCTGGAAGAGTCTGGAAATATGTTTTTCAATCTATTAATTGTGTGACCTTAAGCAAATCAGGTAACACTTTGAGTAATGGCTTTATAATCAGTAAAATTGAAATAATGTCATAGACGCACTGCATTAATATTGAGGGGTACAATATACTAAAATTTCCAGGCTTAATGCCTAACATCTGTTGAGGTGTGCCATCAAGTCAGAACCGTCTCACAGCTGACCTGCAGTGGGTTTTCAGAGGCAGTAAATTGCATCGGAGGATATTGTCCACCAGTGTTCAAAGTTTGTTTTCTCTTTTTCTAACCTGTATTTTATTAGGAGAGTATGTTTCTAGGAGAAGTTATTCCTCAGAGAGAGACATCATGCTTGGAAAGGTGGAGGGTCGGTGAAGAAGATGGAGACCCTCCACCAGGTGGACTGACACAGTGACTGCAGCAATGGGCTTGAGTGTGTCAGAGGTGGAGAGGACGGCACGGGACGGCGCAGGGTGCGGAGCTGTTGTTCACAGGCTCACCACGAGTCAACTCGATGCCACCTAACAACAACTAACACAAATATTTTATATAAAAGAGTGTCTTGTTCAAAGGCTAATATTGACAAAGAAACTTTGGCACTGCCTTCGGCCAAAAGCCGTAAGGAAAGAAAGTTTCAGTCAGAGAAGCATGGGAACTCTGTCAAGAGTAGGAATGATCTACACAAACTTATTAAGTAAACCAGTATAAAGTAAAAGCTTTATTTTAAAAAATAAAATTGATTGTGACTTGAAGAGGGGGGAGGAGTTGAAATGAGATAAATTACTCCAAGTGACAAAAATGCCCACTTGAGAAGGGGGAAGAGAAGCCCTTCGCAGTTTAGCACTAACATACTGCCTTCAGTACAGGCAGGCACACCTCAGCCTACTACACCGCACTTGACTGTCCTGTGCAGATAGTGCCACTTACAAGTTGAAGGTCTGTTGGTGAAATTTTCCCAACATCATACATTCATTTCATGTTTCTGTGCCAGATTTTGGGCATTTTTACAATGTTTCAAAAATTTTTATAATGCTATTGTAAACTTAATAGACTATAGTAGAGAGTGAAAACAACTTTTAAATGCACTAAGAAACCAAATCATTCAAGTGATTCAATTCTTTTTTTCCCAACATTCATTTTGTTGTTGTGGTCTGAAAATGAACTCCTAATATCTCTGAGGCCTATCTGTATCCCAAAGATAGAAATAACAGGCACTCTGTCAGGTGACAGTCTCATCCTTGGCTCAAGTCATAAATATGTGGGAGCTATGGAAAGGGAGAGTGTGGCAGTTCAACTACTTTTATACAAACTTCTTTCTCATTATTCTTTAACTGTCAATACGAGGATTCTTGACTCTGATTGGCTTAATTACATTTCTGGGAATTAGGTCCATGAGTTGAATGAAAAAAAAAAAAAACCCAAACATTTCTTACATAACTGAGAGGAGAGCGAAAGGAGAATCCTCATAGAGTCAAAGTTGAAGTATAAAATGCCTCAGAGATTGTTTACTCTAGGTAGATTTACTAAGGAATTTACTTGGACCTGGAGGCAGCCGTCAGAACAGAGCAAGGAAACACAGCATGGTTCAAAATTGGGAAGGATGTGCGTTAAGGATGTGTCGTATCTCCATACATTTTCAATCTATATGCTGAATACATTATCTGGGAGGCTGGGCTCTATGAGGAGAAATGTGGCATCCGGATTGGAGGAAGACTCATCAACAATCTGTGTTATGCAGATGACACAACCCTGCTTGCTGAACCTGAGGAGGACCTGAAGCACTTGCTGCAGAAGGTCAAGGACTACAGCCTTCAGTATGAATTGAAGTTCAGCATCAAGAAAACAAAGATTCTCACCACTGGGCTGACTGGCAGCATCATGATAGATGGTGAAGAGATTGAAACTGTTAACAGCTTCAGCTTGCTTAGCTCCACAATAAACACTCTTGGTAACAACAGCCAGGAAATCAAAAGACAAATTGCATTGGGAAAGTCTGCTGTTAGGGACTACTCCAGAGTAATGAAGAGCAATGATTTCAGTCTGGATACTAAGATCCAGTCCATAGTCTTCGCAATTACTTGCTATGCATCAGAGAGCTGGACAATAACTAAGGTTTGTAGAAGAATTGATGCCTTTGACCTGTGGTGCCGGAGAAGAGTACTGAATATACCATGAACTGCTAAGAGAACAAAAGTTTCATCCTGGAGAGGGTGAAAACAGGCTGCTCCTTGGAGGCAAGGACTTTGAAGCTCTGTCGGACATAATCTGGGCATGTTGCAAGGAGGGACCAGTCCTTGGAGAAGGACATCATGCTTGGAAAAATGGAGAGAAAGTGCAAGAGAGGAAGATCCTGGCTGAGATGGACTGACTCAGTGACTAGGGTAATGGGAGTAGGTGTGTCAGAGACAATGAAGTTGCTCAAGATATAATAGAGTTTAGGGCTGTTGTACATAGAGTCACTATGAGTCGCAAGTGACTTGATGGCACATAACAACTACAACAACTTCCATCAGCATGGTATATTCTCCCATTTCTCCAGGTCTCTTTTTGTTTCTTGTAGTAATGTTTTGCTTTTTTTTTAAACTTT